GGATTGTCCCATAGAATGGTCCTCCTGGCACCTGCATCTAAGACTTCCAGGCTGCAGAACTGTGAGGTAGTAAGTTTCTGTTGTTTAAGCCACACAGCTTTACCTACTAAGTTATGGCATTTCTGGGAAACTAATACACATGTGAGAATGCACTTTTCTGGAGTTCAGATGGGAGAATCATCTGACACCAAAGAATACCAAAGATAATGCATTAAAAAGAACAAACTGTTGACACATGCAACAACTCAAATGAAAGTCAAAGGAACCTTGATGAGGGAAATGGCTGAGTTCTAAGGGCTACACATCATGTGACTCTATTTATACAACATTCTTAAAATGACAATCACAGAGGAGAACACATCTGTGCCTGGCAGGACCTGGGAAACAGAGAGGCAAATGGCTGTGACTAGAAAGGGCAGCATGAGGGCTGCTATCATGACAGCTGTCCTGATTTGACTAGTAGAGTCACATACATTTATACATGTGACAAAACTGGACATAATCAGATATACACAAATGATTGTAAAACTGGCAGGATCGGGCTATCTAGGGGTTGTCCTAATGTCATTTTCCTGCTTGTGATAGTTTACTGTGGAGCTGGAAAGTGGCTGGGAAGGGGCAACCCTGTGGGAGAGACTTGGACTTTAGGGCTGCATTGGCCAAAACCAGGAAGACGGGGTCTTAGGAAGAAGCCCAGAAGGGGTCAGGATGCTGACAGGGTGCTACAGATGTGCTTAGTGCATACAGCATCAGAGCTGGTGATGTCCACTGTAAGACAGAGGAACTCATGCTCGGAGTAGGACAGTCACTAGCTTGGGACACATAGTTGTCAGGTGTGGGAGTAAGGCCGTGGTAATGAAGGTACAGAGAGAGAAACAGAAACTGATCCGGAGTCAAACAGCTCATTAGGAGCTGAGCTAATACCGGAACCCACCTCGTTTCTCACCCCAGACAAATCTAAGAAAAACCCACCCTAGTCCTCCCACCTAGAATAGCAGCAAGGAAAACCTTAGAGACAATGAAAGGCAAGCACTTTCATTTTCCAAGAATTTTGTTGTCAGGACTGTTTGAAGTCAAACCAGTGTTTCCTCAGCTCTTCAATAAAGTTCACATCAGGACCTAGGACAGTTTTTCCAACACACAGATTCGTGATTGTACCTCACTATACCTCCCAGCAGCACCAGGGCTGTAACTCCTTTTTCCTACAGGGCATGAGAGACTTGTTCAAAATTTAAAGCATCTGATAAGAATTCGGTTAACTTCAGTGAAATGCATCAGGGAACTAGCCATCAATGACAGACCCTGCTTTTAATTCTATTGGGAAGACAGACACTAAATTGTGCTTTTCTGTGAGCTCAAGGGAGGCGTTAAGGCTCTCCAAAGATGGGAAGGGTGTACAGGTAGAGGGGAGAGGCCAGGTGTTCGAAGGAGCAGAAGCAGAAACAGCAGAGAATTGTTTTGTCTTTTGTTTTGTTTTTTGGGTTTTTTTTTTTTAAATTTTAGGGAAGGGTCTACAGGGTATTTAGGGTCTTACTGCTAGATCGGACTCATAGTGATCCACCTGTTTACAGCCTCTTAAGAGCCCTGGGATTGGGGAGATGGCTCAGTAGAATAAGTGCTTGCCTGGCAAGCACAAGGACCTGAGTTCAATCCCTGGTTATACCCCCCCCCCCCAAAAAAAAAAAGAGCGCTGGGATTACAGGCATGCACCACCATGCCCAGTCTCAACTACCATCTCAGTGTGTTCCTGGGGCAGGGCCAGCACAGCAGGCCCGAGGAACAAACCCCAGCCCCTGCTCCTGCTTGGAACAACAGAGTATTGTGATCTCAAATGTTGCTGGGCGTGTTTGAGAGACTATGAGTTTGGTGTAGATAATGAAAAGGTCATTGGGTTTGGAGCACACGGATGGAAGCTCAACCTTGGAGAGCTTAGATACCAGGTCAAAAAAGAAAAGTGTTACTGTGGGGGTAAACTGGGCAAAGGTCATAGAGGATTTCTCTTACTTCTTGTAAGTGCATATGAATGTATCATTATCTCAAAATAAAAAGGTTTTGGGCTGGGGAGATAGTTCAGTAGAAAAAGTGCTTACCTGGTAAGCACAGGTTCCTGAGTTCAATCCCCAGTAACACAAAACAAACAAACAAATAAATAAATAAAAAGGTTTTAAAAGCTATCAAGTTACATGAATGTGACCCAAGTATGTAGTCTCCATTTGGGACTTCCCAGCTTCCAGGACTGTAAGAAATAAATCTCCGTCCTTTATACAATATCCAGGCTGTTACAGCAGCACAAAACAGAGCAAGACAGGTGTATAGGCATAAGAGTTGGGAATGCAAGTCAGTAGTAGTTGCGTAGAAAAAAAAAAGTCTTTTTTTTTTCTTGAAGACATAGTCCTGAGGCAGGAGATGCATGGCAAAGACTAGCTGGGAAAGAGACTAGATATAAGGCTGACCTAAAACCCCACAGTTCCCAGGGCCCTGCACACACGCTTCTGGAAAAAAAAAAAAATGGGGCCACAGAGGAAAGTGACCGATGATGTAGAGTGTGCCTAAGGAGAGTCATCTAGAGAGAAAACATTCTCTCAGGCTTTCACAGAGAACAAACTGGTCAAGCAATGGCCGTGACTCATCCACATGGCTGACACTGACAAAGGATCTACAAACTGCGGCACAGGGTTTCAGGATAAATCCTAAGGGGATTTGACTGACCTTGTCAGATACCAAAGTTACATTTCTTGTTATATAAGTCTTGCTTTATCTTGGTCTTAATTATCCAGCAGAAAAGTATAAACATGAAGTATAAAAAGTAAAGTCATATTAATATGCTGAGCTGTAAAAGGCCCAAGTGAACAACTTCTGACATTGCCAGTTCTGCGGATAACCTACTACTATTATGGACTACTGGACTATATTGGATTATTTTGCTGAATTCACACACCTACAATATTGAAATGGCAATGGAATACCCATGTCTGACAAAACTAAACAAAAAAGGGGGATATAAATGAAGGACTATTTTGTATTTGTATATACAAAATAGGACAGATATACAGCTATTTTCTCTTAATTCAATGAGAAGAAAGATTTGTATTAATATTGTTTGGACAGGACATCATGTCTGCATCTTATACTATGAATTATTACAAAGACAACAATTTGCAATGTATTAGTTATTGTATCTGCCCTACTAACCTGTTTTCAAACTGCCTCATTGCTATTTGTTTCTCAATAAAATTAATAAAAGAAAAAAAAACTCAGCAGGTTTTGGATAGGATGGCCCAGACCTATGCTATCCTCACAGTGGGAAATACAAAAGGGACAATTCCTCCAGCTCTGTGGAATGTACTTTTTTTTCCTACTTTTACTTGACCCATACTTGCTCTGCAGAGCCTGTTTATTTTCCTGTTTTTAACAAATGTAAAACCTTACCACCATTTGCATTTGTCTTGACTGGTTCTTGCTCAGGACATAGAAACCTAGAAATCAGCTCTATGAGGCTCCAGACCCCACAAACCCCTAACAGTTGCACTAAGTAGCCCAGGGTCCTTTTGAATCCTTTATCTTCCTGCCTCAGCCTCACAAGTGCTGAGATTATAGGCCGTGCACTCTTGCCTCAGGCAAGAAAAAAAATGTCTTTAAATCCCCCTACCACAGGTGCAGTGGTGCACGCTCGTATTCCTAGCACTTAGATGCTGGGGCAGCAGGACTCCAGATTTGAATCCTGCCTAGGCGCTCGAGGAGACCATGTCTCAAATTTTAAAAGGCTGGGATCAGTGGCTAAACAGTTGAATCCCAGTACTGAAAGATCAAAAGCAAAAACCCCTACCACTGGTTCAAGAGTGCCACAGTAGAAAGTCTATCCTAACAATTTTAAATTCACAAGGTGTGTTCCACACAAAGACACTGGTTACAGTGTTGTTTTAATACTGAAATAAGAGGGAAAAGTTAAACTATAGCTTGCTGTCACTAAAATTTGTAATAATATGGAAACTCCTACTTTATAGAGGTTCATAGGATATAAAAGGTTGTCATATGTTATGTGCTCTGCATGTATCCAATACAATTTGTATCTGACCATCCCATTCTTTGATATATGCTTAGGGAAGAAAGACACTGGTACCTTGGGGGATTGGGGAGAAACACTATTCCTGCTAAAATCAAAGTGCACGGGGCTGGTGAGATGGCTCAGTGGTCTAAAGTACCTACTTAGAACAAGTTTAGCAAAGCACAGGGACCCGGGTTCAATCCCCCAGCACCACATGCCAGCCAGCCCCGTCCCCTGGTGGGCTGAGCTGGCCACACACACACACACACACACACACACACAAATAAATAAATAAATAAAAACAAAGTGCAGCCCGCCTGTAGTCACTGCCAGGGCCAGTGATGAGTGCCAGGCATTCATCACACTCTACTTTTGATATTTAAAAATGGTCATAATAAAAGGAGTTTTTAAAAGTCTGAAGTACATAAAACGTTGACAGAGTGGTTTCCAATCCTTTGATTCTTTGTGCATAGTTTGCACTTACAGCGTCAATTTTCAGGGTAAGAGAAGCAGAGGAATCTTCCCTTTTTCTTACGTGGAGGAGGATGAATAAGAACTTCAGTCATCACTAAATTCTAAAAGAATTCACGCTTGTTTCTTCCTCCCAAGCCTCCTAGCAACCCAGGGCTTTCATTCAGGAAGCTTGCGACTGAGCGCTGGGGTGTCTATACTTCCCAACTCCACTCCTCGACCTTCGCATTTCTGACTGCGCCTCTAGAGTTTTCCTAGCTAATATCTGGTTCCCCACAAGAGGGGCCTGACAAGATCCCAAGAAAGACAACACCCACCCGCAATGAAGGAAACGAAGGAGGGAGCAGAGATAAACGACTGTCGCTCTGGTCTTTCTTCTTTTCTTTCCGCCCTTCAAACCTGTGACCTTTTCTTGGGGATGAAAGAGGCAGCAGGCACCAGGCAAAGCGACCGGGACCGAGTAGGAGCCTGCGCGGCGCTAGCCGCGGGACAAGAGCGCATCGGCCCAGGTGACCCAACGGCAGCCACCCCTGGGCGTTCACCCAGGACGCCGACGCCGACGCCAGGCGCAGAAACTCAGAGCGGCTGCGGGAGTCGCGGAGGACGCGCGGGGGCGGGGCCGGAGAGGAGCGCAAACGCGGAACCGTGGGGCGCCGCAAAGCTCGCGCTCGGAGCCCTCGCGCACTGCCCCCGCGGGGGGAGCGGCGCGCCTGGGGCTGGGGGTCCCCGGAGCGAGGAGGAGGAGGCCCCGACTCGCATGGGTAAGATCCCCAGGTCTTTTCTGCGCGGGTCCGGAGGGCTCCCGCACAGGAGCGGTGCGCGAGGGTCCGGGCGCCGTGAGGCGTCCTTCACGGCGGGAGTGGGGGTGCTGAGTCACGCATCTGTCATCCTTCGCACCTCTCCACAGCCCTCGGGGGCTAAAGCAAAAGCGAAAGCGAATGCGCCGGGCGGGCGGCCGGTCCCCAAGCTGCGCTCGACACCTCCCCGGGGCCGGGCCACTGCACGCGCGACTGCCCGGGCGCCCTGGCGGGCACTGCAGGGCGACGCCATGGCCCCACGGCTGCTCCCAGGCTACCGAGTCCACGCCCTCCCCGCGTGGTTGTTGCTGCTTCTCCTCCGAGTGCTGGCGACGCTGGGTAGGGAGCGTCGTGCGGGGCCACGGAGGGGCCGGGACGCTAGCCGGACCGAACCGGTCCCCTCCCTCTTCGGGCTAGGAAAGGAGCCGGCCTGGCAGGACGCCGTGTGCGCTGCGGGGGCCAGGGCGGACGGCAGGGACGCGCGCCAGAAGCGCAGGGCAGGGGCTCCGCCGCCGGAGCGCCTGGGTCTTCCTCGCCAGCGAGCGAGAAGCCGAACTCGGATTTCTGAGAGGTGGGGTGGAAGGCGGTTCAGACGGGTCCGGTTTGGTGGAGGGAGCAGGGTGGTTCTCATACCGCGCTCTGGAGAAGTGCTCGCCTCTGCAAAGCCACTTGTTCGGGCTGTGCGGGTGTCTTTGCGCCTCGCGCAGTCCCCGAAGGGATCTTAGCAAATCGGCCCCTCTAGACTGTGAGGCAAATAGTACATTAGATCAATAGACAGCTGGGAAGGTGGGGTAAGGACTGTGTCCCTGAGAAGGAAAAGAACGTGTCTGGTAAGTTACACACCTGGGGAACTGGGAACAGCTCCGAGTTCTCACGTGGGCAGGAAGCGGCGAGCCGGGACTGGGGGCTAGCAGCCTGCGCTCCTAGCAAAAGGGGGAAGAAATAGTTGGCTATGGTTTGATGTACTCGAGAATGTGGGTAGTTTGTAGATCTAACATCAGTGGGAAAAGTGGACCAGGCGACTTGGGGTGGGGTGGGGTGGGAGGTTGTTCCCAGAGCTAAAAGAGGGTGAACAGAGAGATGGCTGTAGTCCTGCGGTTGTCCATCCTGCCGTTGTCCACACCGCCTGCCTTTGTATAGTAAAAGAGCTCTTTCCCCAGGAAAATGCATGAATGTATATACTTACAAAATGTGCATGTGATTCGGGGCCAAGGCTGTCTGAACATCCATGAGAGGTAGCAACCCGGCGATCTCTGCCTGTGTTTTAAGCAGCATCCCCATGACGTGCATCCAAGGGACTAGCCTGCCACCCCGCTCACAGTCCCTGCCTGGCTGGCCTTCAACTCCATAGCTCTACAGGGGTTTCATGAAGTTTCGTTTTCTTACAACTATGATACTGAATATCCGGTCCATCTGAGAAGCTGAATTATGTTGTTAACCTGTTCAGCTAGTGTCCTAGAACGATCCCTAAGGAAATGGTAGAAGTAGCCAGCAGCTCACTAACTCTACTACACAGTGAGAAATTGGAATGCAGCTTTTAGTCAGAGCAGCTACCTGGAATCCGGAGGGGAGCACTGGGGGGTGACAGGTCTCTGAAGCTGGGGGCGGAGAGGGCATGACACAGCTTTGCTTTCTGGCCTTTCAAAGGCATTCCTGCCATCAAGCAGCTCTGATGTTTGTTACAGCTCCATTAAGGTATAGTTGACAGATAATAAAGTGCATATATTTAAGTTTGGTAAGTTTAGAATGAATACAGAGTTTATTTAAAAAAAAAAAAAGTTTTTTGGCAGAACCGGGGATTGAACTCAGGCCCTTGCACTTTCCAGGCCAGCGCTTGCTCTACTGAGCTATCTCCCTGGCCCGAACGCAGAGTTTAGAAGTTTAGAAATAAATGCATAGCCTCATGAAACCAGCAGCACAATCAAGAGAGTTAAATGTGACTTTCAATACCAGGTTTTCTTCCACTCTGCCTAATCCCTACTTCTAGCCATCACACTCAACTACTTACCTTTTTTCTGCCAATACTGCTTCATTGCACTGTTTAGACTTTTACATAAATGGAATTATACAGCATATATTTTTTATTGTTTACTTCAGACACTCAGTTATTGTCCTAAGAATCCATCCATGGTGTAACTTGTACCACCAGTTCATTGCCTTCTGTTCCTGAACACTGCCATCTCACGGTTGTGCCGCCCCCACTCACTTGTTAATGAATCTTTGGATAGGTTCCACTGTTTGGCTTTTTCTTTGTAAAGTTGCTGTGAATATTCATGCTGTCGACGTTTGTGTAGGTGTATGCTTTCATTTATCTTGGATAGGGAATGGCTAGGAAAAACATGAATAACTCATATGGTAGATAAATGTTTCTTAAGAAACTGTCTAGCGATTGTCCAAAGCGGTTGTACTATTTTGTCTTCCCATCAGCAGCAGCAGCAGCAGCAGCAGCAGCAGCAGCAGCAATATTGGGGAGTTTTAGTTCCTACATGTCCATGTCAGCCCTTGGAATGAAGAGCCTTTTAAATTGAACCCTCTCTAGAGAGAGACTCAGCCATAGAAGGAGGGGTGAGGACGAGAAGAAGAAAAAGAATTAAGATGCATTATGCACATGTACCAGCTCCCCATGATGAATGTAATCATTATGTACCTCAAACATGTTCTAACAAAAATTTTAAAACGAAACAGATTTTACCCATTCTAATATGTATGTAGTAGTCTCTCGTAGTTTAATTTGCATTTTCATAATTAGTGTTGAGCACATTTCCATGTGCTTTAAGAACTGTCTTACGTATATCTCCTTTAGTGAAGTATCTGCTCACATCTTTTGCCCTTTTAAAAACTGTGTTATACTTTCATTAAGTTTTGAGAGTTCTTCATGTATTTTAGATACAAGGGCTTTACTAGGTATATGATTTGCAAATATTTTCTCAGACTCTGTAGCTTGTCTAGTATTGTCTTGTAACTCAATCTTATGAAGAGCAGAAGTCTTTAATTTTAGAGATCCCATTTATTAGTTTATTCTATAATGTTTTTGTTTTTCTTTGTCTTTGTTCTTCTAGAAGTCTTATAGCTTTAGGGTTCACATTTATGACTGTAATTGTTCAGAGTTAATTTTGTATATACAGGAATTTGAGGTATGGATTGAAAGTTGTTTATATATGTTTGTTTTTTTGTATGTGAACATCTAATTATTCCCAAACCATTTGCTGAAAAGACTATCTCCTAGGGCTGGCCAGATAGCTCAGCAGACTAAAGTGCCTGTTTAGGCAGAGCACAGTGGCTGTGGTTCAGTCCCTGGTGTGCCATGCTGGCCTGCCTATGGAGCACACTGAGACAGCTATTGAGACTGGGCGTGGTGGCACGCACCTGTAATCCCAGCACTTGAGAGGCTGAAAACAGGAGGATCCCTACCAGCCCAATCTGTGGGGGGCCAGGGATATACCTCAGTAGAATAAGCACTTGCCTGGCAAGCTCAAGCACCTGAGTTCAATCCCTGGTTCCACA